GATGACCATTGAATTAACTCTATTCCATGCGTGAATGAGATCTGAACTTGCAGCAGGAGGATTCATAGAACCGTTGACAAAACAAAGTTTGTTCTTTGCTGAAAGAGCTAATGTCATCGATCTCTTCCAGGCTACAAATCCTGTTCCATCGAAGAGTTTTGACACCAAAATCGTGCTTGGATTGTCCGAAGATCCAAGGTAATAAGGGCTTGAAATTTCAATGTTAGATCCATTGGATCCGTTTGCTTGATTTGGAGTAGAACTTGACATGATTTAAAAAAAAACAGAGATCAAATGAAGTGAATAAGAAACAACAAGATTGAAATCAACAAGAATGAAATCAGGAGCTTCCTCTCTGATACCATGTAGAAATTAAGATGAGAAATGAATTGATTGAGAGAGAAAATTGAGAGAAATGTTTTTCATCATCATTGAATAATAATACAATACATCAATATATATTGCACAGAAAAGCATTGCGTACTAATTACGATTCTAACAAACTAATTGACGTGTCACTTCTCTAATGGTTGACTTGTTGACTTTTATTCTCCAATAGATCATATCATAAATATAAGTATATGGCATTAATAAGAACAAGGTACATTTACATGATGATTGACGAACATTACTTATGAAAAATCAATAAAGTACACGTACTGTTTATCATGCAAACAAACCTCTAACACTTATTTTCCCCCACAAAAATGGAATCAGCTTTCCACATCATGAAGAACAAACTGTGCAACTTTGGATCTTACCTCTGGTGGAACACGGATTGGGCGATAGTTTTTGTCAAGCCAAACTAAAGTCGACCTTGCCTCCAAAATTGGCTACATCAAGAAAACAACCATTGAAGGGCTTTTTTGTCTTTCAACACCTTAGCAACAAGCCAAATAAACTAAGAATATATAAAAGTCTGTAACCTCTTCATTTGGGATCTTCATGATCAAGTGTTCAAAGTATACACGAGCAGCTGATGTGTCAGATATCCTCGCTCTCATAGTAAACCTATCTCCAATCTGTTTTCACCAGAATACCATCAAAGAAACTATTAAGGGTAGTTGAGATTTGAAAATAAGTTTGGAATTATCAAAAATATAAATACATACTTTCAAAGGTCCAATAAATTTGAGTGATAAGTCAGACAGAGCTATCGCATTGCCAGTTTCAGCAATTGTATCGATATTTATGCCAATCTTTTGCAAAAGTTTACGACGAGCTGTTTAACAATTGTCAAGATAATAACTTTTTAATCTCATTAAATAACTAATTGAGTCATGTGAATTAAAGACCAACCATGTTGACAATAATTAGCAAAGACTGCATTGTTCACAACTCCATATTGATCCAATTCGTAATCTTTAACCCAGAGTTCAATCTCGTGAAATTGACTCATTCTGTAAAGAAGGATTAATAATAACAAAAATGGATTCAATCTACAAATTGAAAATTATTCCTATGGACATTAAATTTCAAAGCAAACAGTGGCAATTAAAGAAAGAAAAATGATTACCCTGTAATTGCATGACAAAGCAACAACTAAGGAAACTGTAGGCTAAATAATAGGATCAGTTTAGTAATTACCCTTTGCCACCTTTGAGATCAAAGGAAAAATTGGTTGAGCACCGAATAGGCGTTGGCAGCCGCCGGTGGTTCGTCCGGCGAAGTAAGTGAACATTTGATGAAAGAAGGTGGAGGCCGTCGGCGGATGACGTCTTGACACGTGAGGTCGGAATGATCACGTGCCCCAGGGAGAAGACTGCCTGCGACTGCGACATTTCGCCTGCGTTTTTATCGAAGGATTGATGTTTTTCGGCGATCAACTCTACTAAGTCTTAGGCCATCTCCAATGAAATGCCAAGTAGGAGAGAGAATACTTCAACTCTTAAAAAACTCAAAAATTTGCATTATAATTCTATTGAACGGTTACCTTCTCTCTCATCAATATTATATTTAAATTTATTCTATTAAACTCTTATACAACTCCCGAGAGGGTCTTATAAGGTGGTAACAAAATATACATATACCACCCCTGCTCTTTACCAAAATTTATCAGCCACCCCTTGTCAAATCAGGTACTTTTGCTAATAAGTACTATTCACAAATGAGATATAAGGTAAGTTGGATTTTTTTTTCTCATTTTTTTAGTATGGCTTTTTAGTTCGTCTGTGGATATTTTTATTTTTTTAAGTAGGTGTGTGAAACTAAATGAATATACGAGTAGTTTAAGAGTAGAATAGATTGTTTTTCAAAAAAAAAAAAAAAAAAGTTATAAAAGTTATTATATCTAATTGTTGAATTGTTTTGTGTTCAGCTTTATATCTTTGAGGGTACGCGTTGTGATCCGGTTGATCAGATGGAAGGTTGCGTTGATGAGGAGCCATGAGGACTATTGTATAATGAAAAGTGATAAAGATGACATAATTTCTTCATACATTGCATTGAAAATATGATAGTCATTTAAAAAATATATAAGCTTTAAATCAGATTGGACACTTCGTACGATTTACTGTGGATTAGAAAGAAAGGGAGGGGCGTCTATTTTACGATATGAATAAGAGGTTGAACTAGCCGTTTACTTGCGCTAAACGATGGATGCGAATAGTTTATTTCGACAATTATTTTAATCCGGAAACACATTATATTTCAAGGAACACAAGTTACTTTTCGAAGAACAATGTATTCATTAATTTATTTGTTGCTTTTATGTATGTTGGATACGTGTTTTGGTATGTTGGACCCACTGTGTCAAACATAGATCATTTCTATTTTATGATAACATATTTAATGACATTTTGGAAAATAATTTCATTTATAGTTTAGAAAATATTTTCTTTTTGATGAGTGTTAGATAGTTTTCATTGAGCAAGTAATTTTTTTCAATTATGTTTCATAAACATGTTAATTACAAAACATCAAATTAGTTATCCAATCTAATATAAGGGAATAATTCGTTTATAGTATAGATTTTGTGTTTCATATTTGTGGGTTAGGGTTTTTGACTTGGAGTTTAGAGTTAGGTAAAAATTAGTTATCCAATCCAATATAAGTTTGCTTCGTAAGAAAACGAACATAAAATTATAACAAAAATCAATAATTTTTAATATTTTAACGGTTTTTGTCATTAAAGCCCTCACTTTCACAAAAAAAAAAACCGGTTATGCCCAAAATCTTTTTTTTTTTTTTTTTTTTTGCCACAGTTGCTTCAAATACCGGAAAATTGGTTCGATTTTGCCATTTACCCTGATTTTACCTTCTATGGTCGGTAGCCCACTTGATCTCTTCTTAACACAAAACAACCACCATGACATGTGTGTAGCCGACCACCACCACCATCAGCAGCGTGTCCGCCTTCACCACCATCTTCACCGCCCTCTCTGCCTTCACCATCATCTTCGATTTTGCCCTTCACCATCGTCTGCTTCTTCGATCGACTTGAGCCAAAGAAACAAGAAAAAAATCGCAGCTCTCTTACTCTCCATAATCGATTGAAGGTTCTTCCTCTTCTGATTTCGATCACCAATTCGCACAAGCCACACTCTTTTTCCTTCTCAAAATCGCTCACACTACCACCAAATTCGTAGCTTCTCCTTCTTCTCTAGATTCAATGGAATGTATTTCTCCCCTTTTCCTCTTCTCTTTTTGATTCGAATAGCACCACACCCTATTCCAATATCAAAATCGATGTGTTGGGTTGGTGGTTGAAGGTGGGTGCAGGTTCGATGGTTAACTGATTTTGGTGTGTTATGGAGATGAAGATGGAGTGGAAGAGGTTGGAGAATGGTGGTTCTGGTACGATTTTGGTTTGAAGATGGGTGAAGGTGGCTATAATGGGTCTAAGGGTGGAGAAGAGTGTAAGGGTGGAAGGTTGGTATGGAGATGATAGGTTGTGTTATTGGTGGTTCAAGATTAGTGAAAGTGGTTACAGTTATGATAAAGGTGATGAAGACCGGTGGTTTTGATGGTTGATATGGAGATATAAGGGTGGTTAATGGTGGCTAGTGATAAGAGAAGGTGGCTGACTGAGGTTTTAGGGTGGTTTTTGGTCAATATTGTGAAAGGAGCTAAGGGTTGGCAGTTGTATAAGGTTGGGTTGTTGTTATGGTGGGATAAGGTGAGGTTGTGGTGGTGAAGAAGATGACGGCTGATTACGGAGGTAATGACGGGTTTCTGTGATGGAGGATAGGGTGGCGTTGGGTGGTGGTGGATGATGGACGGTAGTGGTGGTAATGGTGGATGATGGACGGTAGTGGTGGTGGTGGTTTGTGTGTGGCTGATGGTGGTGTTAGTGGAAAAGTGTGGTGGTGGAGGTGACAAGTAAATATAATGGCTTCTATGACAAATGTGACTGGCCCAGGAAGATAAAATCCGGTTAACAGGCAAAAGTGAACCAATTTTCCGGTATTAGAGGCATTGTGGAAAAAAAAACGACTTTAGGCATAACCGATTTTTTTGTGTAAAATTGGGGGCTTTTATGACCAAAACTCATATTTTAATGGCGTGTTTTTATAAGTTGGTTTTAATTTCGAATATTAATTCAATTTAAAAAAATATATGAATATGTTTAAATGAAATATATATCATTAATATTTACTTTTTTATACTTGAATAAACTTTTTTAAAATATTTAAAGATATATCATGTTAAAGAATTAATTTATAAAATTCCAAATTATAATGTTTTTGATATAATTAAATTTCTTAACAAAACAATATATGAAAACTTATTTCTTAACAAAATTTTCCATGATGACAAAATTTTCATCGAATTCGACAAAGCGGGAGGTGTAGGTGGAATAGCACCGACTTTTTATATGTAGGTTGGCTTTACCAAATACCCACAATTCAACCAAGTATCTGTTAGAAGAAAACATGTTCTGTGTATCAGAATGTGTAGAATGTGCTGATCAGTCTCTCCTTGTCGAGAGACTGAGATTCAGAGATTGATCCTATCATAATTCATAAATATAAGTATATAGCATTAATAAGAACAAGGTCAATCTTTTGCAAAATATAAATACATACTTTCAAAGGTATGCCAATCTTTTGCAAAATATAAATACATACTTTCAAAGGTATGCCAATCTTTTGCAAAATATAAATACATACTTTCAAAGGTCCAAGAAATTTTCGTTTTTATGATAGACTTAGAAAGTGAAAGTTCATCTTGTTCGTGTGAAGTTTCTTCATTGTAATCAAATCCGATGATCATATTCAGATCTTATGAATACATAGATATTTCACTTATTCCTTATTATACATATATATTTCACTGATTCTTTATTTATCTGAGATCGATTCATCTATTGTTCTTAATTTCCACATTGTCATTTCATATTGTATGAATCTAGGTTCCTACACCAACAACCTCTGATATGACCCACACACAGCTTCAACATCATGTCGTCAGATGTCAATCAGGTAAACAGTGGCCCATTACTGATTCATTAATACCTTATTAACTACTTGTAGGACTTCACTGAGGTCATTTGCTCGAGGGTGAAATGGATCATGAACAAAAAACTTATGAACAACACCATCGACCTCGATAAAACTCCAACTAGGGGTATTATCGACTTTTCTCTCTACCATCATATTCCTCAATCTAATCACATTCTCCCACCTTCCAATATCCGCATACATATTAGCAAGACCAACATATCTTCCACTATGATTAGGATCAAGTTCAATCAACCGTTTTCCAACTCTTTCTCCTAAACATATTTCACTATGTCTTAAACACCCATGTAGAAAAGATCCCCAAATAGCTTCATCAGGTTCCATTGGCATCAAATTTATCAATATTTCAGCTCCTTTCAGTTGTCCAGATCTAGCCAATACATCAACCATGCATCCATAATGCTCGATTCCTGGTTGAATCCCAAAAACTTTGAACATTTTTCCAATTAAACACCATGCTTTCGTCACTAAAGATTTGTGATTACAAGCAACAAGAACAGCAATGAATGTAATGTCATTAGGAACAGGTCCTTTATGTGTCATCTCTTCAAAAAGCTTGATTGCTAATTCATTTCTTCCATTTGTAGCTAACCCCATAATCATGGAACTCCATGTAGCAACATCTTTATAAGGCATTTTGATGAATATATCTTCGGCTTTCTCTATATCTCCACATTTAGCATAGAAATCTAGAAGTGCAGTATCAATCTCAAGGTCAAAAGTAAAAGATTCTTCAACTAATTGATGGTGGATGTTTTGGCCTATTTCTAGGGCTCCGATTGTACCACAAGCAGTGAGAATGGTTAGTAAAAGAGACCTATTGGGATTCACTAAGCCACTATGTTTTAAATGGAGGAACAAGTCGAATGCTTTGTTGAAAAGTTCGTTTCTCACAAGCCCAGAAATCATTGCACTATATGATACATCGTTTCTTTCAGGCATTTCATCGAACACCTTACATGCTTTATCAACGAGGCCGTTATTGAAACACCCAGTTATCAAACTCGTACAACAAACCACGTTCTTATATGAGCTTTCTTCAAACACCTGTATAGCTAATTCAACGGATTTGAAATTCGAATACATATAAATAAGCGAGCTAGTAACATAAACATCGCAAACATTTCCAAGTTTGACGATCTGTCCATGCACTTGAAGCAACGAAGATATACAGTCACATGTTTTGATCAAAACAGGAAAAGTACGAGCATTCGGTTTGATACGATTGTTGCGCATTTGAGTGTAAAGTAGAATACCCATTTCTTGTTTTGAGGTTTTAGAGTAACCTAGTATCATAGAGTTGTAATCGAAGATGGTAG